ATACCATATTTTTTTGTGATAACTGCAGGTAATTTGCCTCTCTCTTGAGAAAGTGGCCGACCCCTGTCCCTGAGGAACAGCCTCACTATGGGGTCTTTCATTTCACCACACATGAACAAGAGAATAACAGCTGAGCCTCAGTGACTCACAAAAAATAGCAAAATAAATGCAGGTGAGGAAGAATGTGGAACAATTGTGTAAAATCTACTTTAAAGTCTAAATTACTGCCTGTCTAAATGAGCTTTTTATGGCAGCTCATTTCTGTTGCTTAGGAGAAAAAAATCTGAAACATAACATGTCATAATTATGGCTTTTATCTAACAATCACACTGTAATCGTCTATGGAACAGAACTCACTTTATGTTTAGAAAGAATACAAAAAAGTTAGATTTTTCTTTACCAACCCAACAATGTAGCTTTTATTTACAGCCTTGAACAGTAAGCAACACGATCCTAGAACAATTGGTCATTTAAAAATATAAAGGTTGCAAAATTCTAATTTATTCCTCAGTTTAAAGTTAAATAATGGCATCCATCATTCCAGCATTGATCACTTTATCCCTGCAGAACTATAATGCAAATTATTATGACAGAAGTTGAAAATTTGAGACTAAACTGCCTTTCTTGTCACTGCCAGTGCCGATGGTCATAAAGGCTCCAACATAATAAGAAAACTGAGTCTGATCATGACTATTGATTTTTCAGACACTTTTTTCCAAAGTGACTCACAATTCACATTATGCATGGTTTTGTTCTGTGGAAGGAAACCGGAGTACCCGAGGAGAACCTGAGCCTGCATGGGGAAAACATGCAAACGCCACACAGAAAGGCTGCAGGCGGTATTCGAACCTGCAGCTTTTGTTCTGTAAAACAACAACACAGTACCATGCCGATAGTGAAGGTGTGCATTCTTTGCACATTCAGGAAAAAGGTGAACCCACATGCATCCCAACATCAGGTGAGGGACAGATCACTGCATGATCAGGGAACCAAGTGAGGGGACAGGATGGGTGATCACACCTAATTTTCACTTAGAGTCTCTCCAGATTCAGAAACACTTTTCAGAACACATAAAACAAAACAAAAAACACATTAAAAAAAAGCCTCCTCTAGGTCAGGGACGAAGCTCTGCCCTAAGTGGAGAAGCTCACGAGTGAGCGAAAGATGGAGCATGAGATCGACAGGCGGATTGGTGCTGATCTGATCTGTCATGGTGAAGAGAGAGCTGAGCCGGTTGCCCGGTCGATCTACGTTCCTACCCTCACCTTTGGTCACGAGCTTTGGGTAGTGACCAAAAAAATTAGATCGCGGATACAAGCGGCTGAAATGAATTTTCTCCGCAGGGTGGCTGGGCTGTCCCTTAGAGATAGGGTGAGAAGCTTGGTCATCCGGTAGGGGGCTCAGAGGTAGAGCCATTGCTCCTCCACATCGAGAGGGGACAGTTGAGGTGGCTCGAACATCTGATTAGGATGCCTCCTGGACACCTCCCTGGTGAGTTTTTCCAGGCACAAAGGGAGACCCAGGGCACAGTGCAGGGACTATGTCTATCAGCTGGCCAGGGAACACCTTGGAATTCCCCCAGAAGAGCTGGCTCAAGTGGCTGGAGAGAGGGAAGACTGGGCCTCTCTGCTTAGACTGCTGCCTCTGTGACCCAAGCCCGAATAAGCGACAGAAAAAGGATGGATAGACTCACTCACTCACTCACTCACTCACTCACTCACTCACTCACTCACTCACTCACTCACTCACTCACTCTTTGGTTCTTACATATCTTTACACTCCTGAAGCTGATAAACAAGCTTGTTTTAAATTTTTTGGGCAATCAAGTTTTACAGGCGTTAGACAACACCAAAGCACTGAGACTGCACTGTTTAAAGTATTAAATGATATCTGTATTAATACCAATTCAGGCAAGCATCTGTTTTAGTGATGCTTGATCTCAGTGCAGCTTTTGATACTGTGGACCACAACATCCTTTTTCCTAGACTGATGAACTGGGTGGGACTTTCAGGCACAGTCCATAGTTGGCTTCAATCATACCTCGCAGACAGGAGTTATGTTGTTTCCATTGGTGAACACATATCAAAGCAAATCGCTCTGACATGCGGTGTCCCCCAAGGCTTGATTCTTGAACCACTGTTTTTCAACCTCCACATGCTCCCACAGGGCTAGGTCATAAATAATAACAACATCGCCTACCACGGTTATGCAGATGACACCCAGATCTACCTAGCTCTTTATCGCCTAATGAATCCGGTCCCCTAGACTCACTCTGTCAGTGCCTGAACAAGTTAATGACTGGATGCAATCAAGGTTCCTTCAGGTAAACATAGGCAAGACTGAAGTTATTGTCTTTGGAAATGAGAATAGGATGTAAGATATTTTTCAACTTAACTCCAAAGGAATAAAGACAAAAACTCAGGTTAGAAATCTTGGTAATACCTTTGATTCAGACTTGAGCTTCACTGGTCACATTAAAGCTATAACTAGATCAGCATTCAATCATCTCCATCAATCAAGACTCAGAGGTCTCATGTCAAAACAAGGCCTAGAGAAACTAATTCATGCATTTATCTCCAACAGGCTGGACTATTGCAGTGGTCTTCTAACTTGTCTTTCCAAAACGGCTGTAAAACAAATGCAGCTTATTCAGAAGGCAGCTGCTAGAGTCTTAACAAGAACCAAAAGAACCAAGCACATCACCCCTTTACTTAAATCTCTACACTGGTTACCAATGAATTACAGAATCTACTTCAACGTGTTTTTACTGGTCTATAAATCTCTCAGTGGCATGGGACCAAAGTACACGGTGGATATCCTTCCAGTATTTACACCCAGCATGGCAGATCCTTGGGAAACAGTCAGCTGGTAGTCACTCAAGTCAAAACCACACAGGGTGAAGCTGCCCTTTTGACTTAGTCTTTTATCTGTTTGTTGAATCTGAAATGAACATCTACATTTCTTTGTTTGAGTTACTTTTTTTGCTGTTTTTGCTTCTGTAAATCCCTTTGAGTTGCCTTTGTGTTTGAACTGTGCTGTACAAATAAAACTGCCTTGCCTTACATTCAGGTTTTTGCCATAAATCCGCTGGAGGGTGTAAATGTAAAATACAACAAAGTTAAAAAAACAACTAAGAAATGTTTGACAAAATACATTTTCTAATTAAACTTTATAGAAGTTCTATATAATTTGATCACATTAGCAAAAAGTATGGAAAATGTGGGTTTTTTTACACTTTTGGTCATTTTAGATTTGTTATTAAATTTTACATGCTTATTTTGAAATGTAATTCTTTTTAAACCATAGCTGGACTGAACTGAACACTTATTTTCCTTAAAGGCACATATTGTTAGCAATTTACAGAGAAATAGTCACCAAACAGTCTAACATCTCAATCATGTTGTAAGGAAGGTAACATTGATACAGATTTTCTTCTCAGCCGGCTGGGGGATTGTCAGTTTTTCTCCCAAACAGTTTTGCGTCATGGCTATCACAACGCTCTATCAGTTTAGTGAGCGGGATGATGCAACAGAGTGGAACAGCTAAGATGGCGGTGGCTTATTTAAAACAGCGTTGGCATCAAATTTGGACTATTTATATTTGGACTTTTATTTGAGCCAAGAGCAGATAGAGTTACTCAAGTTCTTTATTTAGAAAAATGATGTATTTGTGTCTTATTCAACGGCGTATGGCAGCCTGCCCTGTTGACTGACATCCGGTGAGCACGTCACGTTGTTTGTTGTCCAATACATGCGGAGACAGTTTGAAAGACAATCGTAGATACCTGCCTACGACTGAGCTCTCCCTAGGGGATAGGGCCAGATTATATATCCACATACATAGAATGGCTTGCCAGGCCATCATATTGCACCTTTAAGTCAAGTTTCCTTATAGTATGTCTGTTTGTGTAACCATATTTCTGCATACAAAAATAGGAATAATTTACAAAGCTTCAGGAGAAGACGCAACAATCAGCCAACACAACAGAATACTTGGCAACAGGAAGAATACCCCACATCCCTTTTGCTGTATGTTATGGCACCTGGCTCAACCATTCTGTCTACTTCAACTGTCAGGACTGGTAAAATGAAAAGAAAAAAAAAGGCTATTTGCGCGGTCCTCAGGATGCTTTTTGTTTCTCCAACAGCTTGTTGATGTTAACATTTTTACATTAAGACTCTAAGTGATATGATGCTTCAAACTTCTGCACTGGTGATTTTGGCCCTCATCTTGGAATGTTTAAATACAATAAAACCGTTCTTGTCTATCTACTGCAAGTTTTTAGGTATTACCTAAAATCAATGAGTGAAGTTGAGTGTTCTACTGGATCAGAATGACAAACAAGCCAAACATTTTCATCTCACCAAGTAAATCATATTTTCTTCCAACGATGTTTTGCTGTTGTGCCTGCGCAGGAGCTGTTTCCCTATGGCTGCATGACCCAATGCACAATCAACCAAGACAAGGCGGCCTAACCTGGTGACACTCCTTGATGATTACTGTCAAAACATGTTAAAGGTGGAAAATCATTTGTTTTTTTTTACATGTATGAAGAAAAGATCCCAACCAAAATTCTTCTGCCTACATGATACATGGAGTTTATTAGATCTGATGTGTAAATATAAAAATCTGACAGTATTAATGCCTTAGAAAACAGTTATTTCAAAGCTTTTAAATGCCCCAAGTCATAAGAATGTGTAGATTACCTACACAGTGCACGTTGTATTATATCATATTATATTATATTATATTATATTATATTATATTATATTATATTATATTACATTACATTACATTACATTACATTACATTACATTATATTATATTATATTATATTATATTACATTATATTATATTATATTATATTATATTACATTATATTACATTATATTATATTATATTATATTATATTATATCATATTATATCATATTATATCATATTATATTATATTATATTATATTATATTATATTATATTATATCATATTATATCATATTATATCATATTATATTATATTATATTATATTATATTATATTATATTATATTATATTATATTATATATCATTGCTGTCTAACCCACATGACCCTTTTCGAAAGAATAAAGAAAGAAAAATTTATTGATTCACGCAACTTTCTGATTTTTTGTTTTAATCGGATATTTCTGTTGATTGGCTAATCCAAGGTGTCAGGCTCAGCATCCATGCATGTTTCCCAGGGGTTACGGGGCATGTGGGGCATGGAGATGAGGAGCAATGCGCCTCCGCTAAGGATGAGCAAGGTAAAGGAGACGCAGGCACATGTGAAGGACCAGGAGTAGTAGTATTCAATCCAAATGGTCTCGTCGCTGTCGATCATTCGCTTAACAGACTGACGCATCACCTCGACAGAGATGATAATGCAGAGACCTGCAGGGTATAAAAGAAACTGTGGGTTATGTCTGGATTTGTGTGAAAACCTCAGACTGAATGCGGTTTCTGTGTTTGCCAACCTGCAAAGGCAAAGAACATCCCAGCAGGCCGAAGCAAGTAGTCCCGGCCTTTCCCGAAGGAGAAGATGACACACAGTGTGCCCAGGATTATGAAGAACAGACTAAAGATGGCGATGGCTGCTGCTGAGATGTTGTACTCTGGGGAGAAAAGAAAAACTTAATAAGAAAACAGAGGAGGGATGCAATAAAGAAAAGGAAATAAACCACGTGGAGGAGAAGACTGGAATGAAACGAGGTAGAAGCGTGGCGATTAAAAACCGAGACAGTGTGTAGGCTCGGATGGAGGTGGTGGCAGGATCATAATAACTGTTTCAATATTACACTCAGCTGAGTTATGACACAGATAATTAGCCTTTAAATTAGCCCTCACTTAAAAAAAAACCAGACATCTATCCAAACCAGCAATAATTTCCAAATAAGAAGCTGCAAGCTCCTAATGAGATGATTAGAACGTGTCTCCCTCCTCACACCTCCTCCTCTTTTGTCTGGTTTTCAGATGCTACAGTTTGCTCCCCTTTAACTCTACAGATCCTCTTTCATGTTCCACTTCATCACTCAAAGTGTGAAATATCATTTTCTCCATGGTAAAATGTTTTTTGCAAATTCGTTTAGCAGATCTAATAATGTCAGCCTGGTGTTTGTCCAATCATCTCATTTCATGTTTTAAAATATTATCAATGGGTTTCAATGAAAAACATAACAACCTGTTTTGTGTTTTTCACCTATTTCCAACCATTCATACCTGCTTCATCAGAAGAACCATTTAAGACCCTGAAAGAGTTAACTTTGTTAGTTAAGAGGTCGTTGTTTGCTTCTGAAACCTTGCCATGCACCGGAGAGGGAGCACCAGAAGGCAGGCAAATGTAGATGAAGGTGACAGGAAGAGAAACTCCAAATATTCTAACTGTACTAAGGAACCAAAAAGCTGAGGGATACAATTCATTACTAGAAATCAAAAGTTGAAGGGATAAAAAAGCAGCTTTACTGGTACAGTTTTGCCACCTTTTTCCTATAAATGGATATAGTCATTTTCAAAATGTGCTTTGGCAAATTATAACTAAAAGCAACCATTAACTGTCTGGTCCGGCACTTGACTTCAGTTCAGTTTAGCTTTACCAATTTCTCACGTCTTAGGGCACTTTACAAAAAAGAAACAAGTCCTATCGTATTCTTCAGAGGGGAGTATTAAACTGAGATCACTGATTGGGTTAGCTTTTAGATCAGATTATGTGTGGTTTTTTTACACAACATGGCAACATCTCACAGAACTGCTTATCTGACACAGGATGTGTTATGTGGATGATTCCCATCTTATAGGAAACATTTAGCTCGATATATTTCCAAATGACTAACAACAATTTTTGTGGTCAATTAATTCAATTCAGTTTCAGTTTTTTCGTAAGGAGCTAAATCAAATCAAAGCCAAACCAGTGTAAACATTTCAGTTGAGTTCTGTTCATTTTTCCAATTAAAAGTTTCCTACGTAAGGAAATCCAGCAAATTACATCGAGTCACTGACTTGTTTTGTCAGTGACTTTTCAGCAATCGCCATGCTAAGCAAGCATGTAGCGACAGTGGGGAGGAAAACTCACTTTTAACAGGAAGAAACCGCCAAATCTCGACAGGAAAAGGGTGGCATGCCAACTCCAGGGCGGGAGAGAGGTCCTGCCTCAAGTGGAGGAGTTCAAGTATGTCGGGGCCTTGTTCACGAGTGAGGGAAGGAGGGAGCTGGAGGTCGGCAGGCGGATGAGGTGGATGTGGTGAAGAAGGAGCTGAGCCGGAAAGCAAGGCTCTCAATTTATTGGTCGCTCAGTCCTCACCTACGGTCATGAGCTTTGGGTAACGACCGAAGAACAAGATCACAGATAGAAGCGGTCAAAATGAGTTTTCTCTGCAGGGTAGCTGGGCTCAGCCTTAGGGATAGGGTGAAAAGCTCAGACATTCAGGAGAGACTCGGAGTAGAGCCGCTGCTCCTCCATATCAAGAGGAGTGGTTTGGGCATCTTGTTAGGATGCCTCCTGCATGCCTCCCCAGGGAGGTGTTTCAGGCATGTCCCACTGGCAGGAGGCCCCCTGGTCGACCCAGGACACATTGGAGAAAGTACATCTCCGAACTGGCCCAGGAACACCTTGGGGTCCTACTGAAGGAGCTGGTGGAGGTGGCCGGGGGGAGGACGGTCTGGAAAGCTTGGTTTATGCTTGACGCATTCACTTTCCGCTTGGTGATGCGGCTCGCGGATGGAACGTGCTTCACAAATTGCAGCATTTATGATTCTTGCGGCTCGTCTCTGCGGTGAGCCAATATTCTCCCAAACTGAACGGGGCAGCATGGAGCTCTACGGCATGCATCCAACACTACACCATAGTAGAAGTAGAAATTACTGTTGTTTACAACATGGCATTCCAGCATTTTTAACAGCATCCTTGTCTTTTCCGACAGTGCGAGCTATTTTTTTCCAAGAATTATTAACAACATGTTGATCACGGTGATATCTGAGAGCTGAATTATATAATTGTCTGTATTTACGAACCTCTGCCATACTAGTTCTTGCCAGTCCGCCATGTTTTACCACGTCCGTCCGTGTGGTTAGAAATTTTCCTAGGTGTGCGTTGCGGAAATTTTGGGCCGTGCGGAGACGCAGTGGAGGGGCGTGGTTGTTAAAATGACGCAATTTCGCCGCGCGGACCTCGCGGACGCGTCAAGCATAAACCAGCCTTAACTCCCTAGTTGGGATGCTGCCCCTGCGACCCGGACAGGGATAGGCAGAAGAAGATGAGATGAGAGAAACTGCCAAAAGAACCTGGCTCAGTACGAGCAGCCATCTGTCGCCACTCACTGGAGGTAGAATTGTAGAATTAGCTGTGGCAAGCATTTTGAATCAGTCTTAAAACAATCCCTCATGGACGTACAGCTGTGGATTACCTTCTGCTTTGTGTAGTGATTCCTTTTACTAGGGGGGCAGCAGTAGCTCAACAGCTTGAGCGGGTTGTCCAGTAATCGGAAGGTTGCAGGTTTGATCCCGGCTCTGGACAGAGAATTCTGCTGTTGTGTCCTTAACCCACGTTGCCTGCTGGTGGTGGTCGGAGGGACCGGTGGCGCCTGTGCTCGGCAGCCTTGCCTCTGTCAGTGCGCCCCAGGGCAGCTGTAGCTACATTGTAGCTCATCACCATCAGTGTGTGTGTGTGTGTGTGTGTGTGTGTGTGTGTGTGTGTGTGTGTGTGTGTGTGTGTGTGTGTGTGTGTGTGTGTGTGTGTGTGTGTGTGTGTGTGTGAATGGATGAATGATACACTGTAGTGTAAAGCGCTTTGGAGTCCTTACTCTGAGAGGCGCTATACAAGTGCGGGTCATTTATCATTTATAGCTCTAAGGATAGAAACACACACACTCATCTTGTATTGACTTCCATTCATTTCAGTGACTGGATTGTGCCTAACCCTAACTAAAACTTGATTCACACCACACTTCTAAAACTAACAAGAATAGCATTGCAACATTGTACCAAAGTGAGGACAAAATGTCCTCACTTCGCTACTGATGTCCTCAGTTTACGGGTGAAAAGTTTGCCATTGGCCCTCACTCATCCATCACGTCAGTTCCTGTGTTTTGAGGGGATTATTATTCATTCGTGCCACAGATGAATAACTGACATGAACAAAAGTAGTTCTCATCACAGATTTGGACTGTAACTTGTTGTCTTTGCCTCTGACACTCACCTTTCTGAGTCTTCATTTCAAAGACCTCAGCTTCTTCACCTGATGTGAAGTGTTTGAAGTAGGAGCAGTTTTTTGCTGAAAAGTAGAAAACAAGAAGGGCAACAGAAGGATGATGAAGAGGAGGTGACAAGGAGAGGAGGAAAGAGAAATGAACTGTGAGAAAGATCGTATCTCTTTGTGCTAGCAGCCATCATGAAGGTAAGTTAAAGCTTAGTAGAGCCTGAAAAATTACACCAGCTACACTTGTTAGAAGAACAATAAACAAAGTGATGTATTTCATTGTTCTATTTTAAATTACCTGTTAAAAGTCAATTAATTGTTTTGAAGCTGAAAAGGAATTGTGAGTGTACTGCTAAACAATACATACAGTAATGTACTTATTGTATCATCCCCAAAGTTCTACACAAAAATACACAAACAATGGCCCACGGATGGCTTGGTGAAGTATTAAGGCACCTGTTCCAAACAAATTTCAGGTTTGGACAAATCCCTTGTACTTTTAAGCACCTGTGAGAGCTCCTCCAGTGTTGCATGACTCCAGCAATACTCGTGTTTTCATACTTGAATGCAAGTTTTAGCTGATGGGTGAAGTGTCGCGCTCACAGTTGTTTGGCCTTGACGTTCCAACATGAGCAGATCTCTTCTTGTCTAAAGTTCTTCCCCACTTCTAAATCAGTGAAGAACAGACTTGGGCAACAATGACAAGTAGGTTCACTTGGAATGTTTGATTTGTAAAGTGCCTTCAGTTGACCCTTGTTGCAGAGTGGCGCTATACAAATAAACTGAATTGAATTACAGATTATCTTTTGTTTGATCACACATGTGACCATCAGTTAGGAAAAGGGCTAAATGTTTGCTGTTTTAGTGTTTTTGGATATTTTTGTCAGTCGTTTCTATGGTAAAGTGGAGTAAAATTTCAATATTTCATATCTTTCAGCTGCTTTTATTGACAATTACATGAATTTTGTGCAACAAGTCAACATCAAATTCTGTCGTTAGCTTCTTGAAGACAAACGTCTATCGAATTAGGGTTCAGTGAACTCCTTGACCATGGACCGCAAGTGTTTACTAACTAATATTCATGATATGCGAACATCCAACACATTCTTACACCCAAGGCATCAAAATATGACAAATGTGATCAAGCGTCAATATATGACGAATCGGGATGCCCCAGCGCGTCAGGATAAGACGATTAGGGACACGGTGGGTCACGTGACTCCGCTGGCGTCACTGTTTGAAGCGCGCGGTCACACGGACATTGTTCAACTATTTAACCTTCCCCTCACCCCAATCCTAACCTTAAGGTCCATAAACTGTGACCTTAAGGTTAGGATAGGCGTGAGGGGAAGGTTAAGTAGTTCACAAGTAGTTCTAATGTCCGTCTCAGCACCAGCGTCGGATACAGACGCTCTGGGACGCTACGTCAGCAGTTTGTCCCTGATCGTCTTATCCTGACGCGCTGGGGCGTCCCAATTCGTCATATATTGACGCTTGGTCACATTCGTCATATTTTGACGCCTTGGGTGTGAGAATGTGTTGGAACATCTCACCTCTGATTGGCGAACAGCAGCACAACTCTTCCACTGCGATCTTTTGCTCTGCTTTTTTGTTAAAGAATGCAAAACTTATGTTAAATCTCTACAAATAACACTAGCCTGAGCATGAACCATGTTGTGGAGTTGCTGTTACTAATGCTTCTACTTGCCAAGATGCGCTCTACTCTCTCCCGGGTGCTAAATCAACAAAGCCTCTGCGGTCATGAGCCAAGGTGGGTGAGACCATGAATGCTAATTTTACAGTAGATCTGTGTGGCTTTAACTGACCTGAGCATTTAAATACAGGAAATGAGATATTAGACTATTTTCATGTACAACCTGCATGTGAAACTCAGAAAGATGGCCGTATATCAAAACAAGCAATTATGCTTTGCAGAGAATCTTTGCTTTAAGCTCTATGGTACCATACTTCATTTCACAAAAGCCCTTGGTCATTACCAAGCTGTATTAGGATGCTATTCCTCTAGGAGGATGTATAGGTCCCTTTCTTCATCTCTGACTCAGAGGCTGTGCTGTAGGTCCACAGTCTTGATGGAGAAAGAATCCATCCATGAAAATTGTCAGGGTGCTTTGTTGTAACACAGGACTAATGGTTGTGATCTCTTGATTCTTCTGCATTCAGTCCTCTGTCAGGATGGCCCAACAACTGGAAAGAGAATATCTAAGAGAAAATGACCTGGTCCTAAGCAGTCTAATTCCTGGATCTTTTGCAGCACATCAGTGATTCTCTGATGTTTTTCTTGAAAAGAAGAGGCTTCACTGTTGTCCTTCTTGACACTGAACCATCCTCCAAAAGTTATCCACTCGTGTGTGCAGGAGCTTTACATTCATGGGCAAATTCTGCACTCGTGGTTCCAAAGTCTCTCAACTTAATCAACTTTAGGGGGCAATCCCGGGACTTAACCCCGGCACCCTGAAGCATTCTTTCCAAATACAGTGGAGGCATTTGTTTGTTTGTTAGGTTCACTTTTAAAATCACTTTTTCTAACATTCTGAAGTTCACGCAAACTGCCACCAGAGAAACTTAATGAAAATGTTTTCATTTGGCCATTACTGTATCTTCTATTCTAACCAAATCACAGCAGTGTTGACTTAGTCCCAATCATCTTAAACTAAAATATGAATTCTTGCACTTATTTCTATATTGAGGTTAATCATGTGTTTATGCCTGCCCATTGTTCTCTTCTGTGATCATATTCAATGCTAAAGATCTATGTAGCAATGATTTTTAGAGGCAGTTATTTTCCACTCATCCGTCACGTCTGTTTCTAAAGGCCTCTGAACTGAGGAGGAAGGGTGAGAAAGACTAAGAAGCCAAGATCCTTACATCCTCTGCTTGCTCCTTTTTCCTGCTCTGATTAAACCCATAAAGTAGACAGGTGCCCTCTCTACTCTGACAGGGACAGACAGATATGTGCATTGGTGTACATGCACATTCTTACATGGTTTTGTGTGTGTGTGTGTGTGTGTGTGTGTGTGTATGTGTGTGTGTGTGTGTGTGTGTGTGTGTGTGCACCAAGCAACAGAGGAGCTGTTTGTTACCCAGGATGAGAAAGAATCACTAAACGGGTAACCTAGCAACAAGCTGCTGCAGGTCTCAGCTAGTGTTATCTATTTACACATGTAAAAGCATATATCAAGAGGTCTGTGTGCGTGCATGCATGTGCATGGATGTTTATGTGCGTGGACACACTGGTGAGGGCACCATTTGGAAGCAGGTTCACGGTGCAGCTAAGATCTTAAACTATATTATTTCCATTAGTCTTCTCTGTTTTTTCCTCTGAGGCTGAGATAATCTGAACCAACACATGTTTGGGAACAGCTTTGTGATCTTCTGTCTTTTTGAAAACTGTTTACTGCTTTGCAAATTTACCACTAGCTGTGCTCTTGATCCATAGGAAAGAAAAAAGGAGTAAAAGTTTTACTTTCTGCATGTTATGGATGAGCTTAAACTAAGGGTTGATCGCGTGGACATCAGGGGCAGTTCCACTCAATTGGCAGGGTGGTGGCCCCCCTATTTAAAAAGGGGGACCGCAGGGTGTGTTCCAACTACAGGGAGATCACACTTCTGTGCTTCCCTGGTAAGGTCTGTTCTGGGGATCTGGAGAAGAGTGTCTGGCGGATTGTTGAACCTTCAGGAGGAACAATGCGGTTTTCGTCCTGGCCGTGGAACACTGGACCAGCTCTGTACCCTTGGGGGAGTTCTGGAGGGTGCGTGAGAGTTTGCCCAACCAATCTACATGTGTTTGGTGGATTTGGAGAATCCACAAAACCCCCCTCTGGGGGGTACTTCGAAAGTATGGGACACCAGGCCCTCTGATATTGGTAGTTATGTCCCTGTCTGACCGGTGTCAGAGCTTGGTCCACAATGCCGGCAGTAAGTTGGGCTTGTTCTTGGTGAGAGTTGGACTCCGCCAAGGCTGCCCTTTGTCACCGATTCTGTTCATAACCTTTATGGACAGGATTTTTAGGTGCAGCCAAGGTGTTGAGGGGATCGGTTTTGGTGGCCTGAGGATCGGGTCTCTACTTTTTGCAGATGACGTGGTCCTGTTGGCTTCATCAGAACTTGATCTCTGGCTCTCACTGGAGCAGTTTGCAGCTGAGAGAATCAGCTCTTCTAAATCTGAGACCATAGTCTTGACTCGGAAATGGGTAGAATGCCTTCTCCAGGTCAGGGATGAGGTCCTGCCCCAAGTGGAGAAGTTTAAGTATCTCGGGGTTTTGTTCACGAGTGAGGAAAAGATGGGCCATGAGATCGACAGGCGGATTGATGCTGTGTCTGCAGTGATGCGGGCACTGTGCCAATCTGTTGTGGTGAAAAGAGCTGAGTCAGAAGGCAAAGCTCTCAATTTACCGGTCGATCTACGTTCCTACCCTCACCTAGGGTCACGAGCTTTGGGTAGTGACCGAAAGAACAAGATCGTGGATACAAGCGGCCAAAATGAGTTTTCTTGACAGGGTTGACCCTTAGAAATAGGGTGAGAATCTTGGTCATCCGGGAGGGGCTCAGAGTAGATCCGCTGCTCCTCCTCATCGAGAGGAGTCAGTTGAGATGGCTCATGCATCTGGTAAGGATGCTTCCTGAACACCTCCTTGGTGAGGTTTTCACGTCCAACCGGGAGGAGACCTAAAGGGAAGACCCAGGACACGTTGGAGAGACTATGTCTCATGGCTGGTCAGGGAATGCCTTGGGATTCCCCTAGAGGAGCTGGTCCAAGTGGCTGGGGAGAGGTAAGTCTTGGCCTCCCTGCTTAGGCTGCAGGGATACCCCGGATAATCAGCCGAAAAAGGATAGATGGATGTTTTCTGCTCACCTTTAACTGTGCTCTTGATCATATTAATTAGGGAAGAAAAAAGGAGTAAAATTTTTATTTTCTGCATGTTATGGAACAAGAAGTGTCGATCTGAAAAATGTTCTATGTGCATCACTTTTTCCACATTATTTTTTATTTTTTAAATGTGTTTATTTATCTCAAACCATTGAAAATAACATAAAATTGCACTCATCCATATTCC